ACGGACGAAGGCTGGCGCGTCACCGGGACCAAGGTGCTCTTGCATTCCACTCCCATTTACCCTCCCTCTCCATCACTCCCTCGCTAACTCGCGCCTATGATAGAAATGGATAACCGGCGGCACGGCAGCAACGTACTTCACCGTCGGCTGCCGCTCCGCAAAAGGCATGGTCGTCCTCGTCATCGAGCGCGGGCCCGGCGTCGAGACCAAGCCCATCAAGACGAGCTACAGTTCGTCTGCGGGGACGGCATTCGTCACTTTTGAGAATGTTCTCGTGCCGTTTGAGAACCAGCTTGGAGAGGATGGGAATGGGTTGCATGTTATCTTGGCGTCAGTAGATCTCTTCCTCGTTTCTTCGATTGGGGTTTTTATTAACGCGCCACGACTCGGAACAGGAATTTCAACCAGGAAAGATGGGGCATGACTGCTGCGACGATCTCTGCGCACCGGATGGTCGTCGAGGAATGTCTCAAGTGTGTTTGTTCTCTCTGCTCTCTCTGCCCTCTGCTCTTGTAGTAATCGTAATCTACGCTCCTCAGATGGACCACCCAGCGAAAAGTATTCGGCAAGCCACTAGTCTCACAAGCCGTGATCCGTTCCAAGCTCGCGGGTATGATCTCGAGGGTCGAGAGCGCACAGGCCTGGCTCGAGGCCATCACATACCAAGTGAGTGAGGTTTTACCCGGGTCCCGGTTGGAGGGGCTAATTCCGCTGGCAGATGTTGAATATGAGCCACGAACAACAATCGTTGTTGTTAGCTGGGTGCGCTTCCTTTCCTTCTCTTCGCCTCTCTCTTGATTTCTAACCCCCCATCCACAGCCAAATCGGCCTGTTAAAAAGCTACGCCACCAGAACCGCGCAGGAGACCGCCAAGGACGCGATTCAGGTTCGTTTCCTTCTTTTACCTCTTCCCCTTGTTTCATTCCTCACTGCTCCCTACTCACTACTCACTAACGCAACGCACAAAACAGATATTCGGCGGCCGCGGGATCACCATGACCGGGATGGGCAAGTACATCGAGCGGTTCCACCACACCGCGGTGTTTGATGCGATTCTGGGAGGAGGTGCGTCGTCTTTTTTCTTTCTTCCTTTTTTTTTTTGGTGTGATTGCCGATACTGACGCGCGGCCTGTAGCTGAAGACGTGTTGGACGACCTTGGTGTGAGGCAGGCGTTGAAGGCGATGCCGAAGGGTGCGAGGCTGTGAGTTGGAGTACGCGTACGCAGGGCCCGAGCCCGGGCCCGGGGTAGGTTACTCTGAACTTGAAACAATTGGTGGTCAAAGATGTCTATCAGTCAACATGACTTCGCTTACCACGGCTACCTGTGTGGGACTCTTTAATTCTGTATTCTGCAAGTGACATTTCCTGCCAATCCTCCGTATACTGCACCCACCAAGTTGGACCTGCACCAAAACCGTGACGATGACAGGGGGCGCCCATCTGTGATCTGTCCCTTAGTCAGCCAGCCCGGCTTTCTTTTTGGACCCATGCCCAGGCCGCGCGGCCGCGCGGCCGTGCCGAAACTGTATAGGCCTCACAGAAGCGGCAAGCCCGAGGCGTGCCCGAGGCGTGCCCGAGATACCAAGGTCGCCGGCTGTGAGAAGCCGAGGTGTGTATCACCCAAATCGAGTCACGATAACCTGCGTCCTTGTGCGGAGATCGATGGCGCGGCGTCCTTGATAAAAGCAACCAACTCTCCGTCTTGCAATTGGCCCTTTCCTTCCTGATACTACCACATTGCACCAAATGGCGGAACCGGAGACACACGCACACCGTGACGAGCAGCCTGAGGAGACCCGTTCTGCATTGACAACGGCCACCGTGACTCTGGAAGCAGAAGCAGAGCCAGAGGTCAAGGAGGACAAGCCAAAAAGCGAGCCCAAAACTCGCGCATTCTACCTCACGTTCCTGGCTATCAGCGTAACGACCTTCCTTTCCGCTATCGACCTCACCGCTGTCGGCACAGCGCTGCCCACCATTTCCACCGCCCTCCACGATACGAAGGGTGACTTTACCTGGGTGGGCTCAGCCTATGCGCTTTCTAGCACGTGCGTACTTACTCTCACTCTCCGCGTTGCGCAAATCACCGACGCGCTTACGCAGAGCGTTCATTCCGTTGAGTGGGAATCTCGCGGATGCCTTTGGACGGTGCGTTTGCTAACTTTCACTGGTCTTTATCCTCTTGACACCCCTGGATCCAGACGTATAGTCCTGCTCTTCAGTATCCTTTTCTTTGCGATTGGGAGTGCTCTGTCCGGTGCAGCTCACAACATGGTGCGTTCTTCCTGCCCGTCTGTCGTCCTCACTTAATATCCCCCCCAAGAACATGCTTATCGCCGCCCGAACGGTCCAAGGTGTCGGTGGCGGTGGCATTCTCGCGCTCTCAGAAATCCTCGTCGCCGACCTTGTACCGCTGGCTGAGCGGGGCATATACCAAGGCTTCCTCGCGCTTGTGTGGTCGCTTGCTGCCGTGCGTAACTTACTCTCACCCTCCGCAAATCACCGACGCGTTTTTTTTGTGCAGAGCGTTGGCCCGCCCATCGGTGGTGCACTGGCAAATCAAGGAGACAAAGCCTGGCGCTGGCTCTTCTGTGCGTCTTTCTTGGCCTTTCTTATGCTCTCGCTAATTGGCATCGCACAGACCTGAACCTGCCGTTATGCGGAATATCCCTCGTTCTCGTCGCATTCTTCCTCAAGGTGCGCAGCCCTCCAGGGACCATACGGGAGAAATTGGGTGAGGTTGATTGGATGTGAGTACTATCCGCTCACTCCCCTTGCGCGTCCAACGCTTTCCAGCGGCAACGCCATCGTCATCGCCGGCTCTGCTCTCGCCATCATTGGCCTCACATGGGGCGGCATCCGCTTCCCCTGGGGCTCCGCACAGGTGTTGGCCCCGCTCATCATCGGGCTCGTCACCCTCGTTGTCTTTGGCTTCTACGAGGCGAGGGTCAAAGCCCCCGTTCGCCCCACCGTCCCTCCAGACATCGTCTCAAACCGCACTTCCTTCGGTGGGCTTATCGGGACCGCGATCCATGGGTTGACGAGTGTAGCGCTCATTTACTACCTGCCTGGTGCGTTTTCCCTCCCGTTCTCTTCCCCTCTAACCCGCCCCGAAGTCTACTACCAAGCCTGCTTCTCCGCCTCGCCCATCCGCTCCGCAGTCGACTTCCTCCCCTCCGGCCTGCTCACCGCCCCCTTTGCATTCGTAGCGGGCGTCGTTACCGCGATTTCGGGCAAGTACCGCCCAGTCAACTACGCCGCATGGTGTTTCGTCATCATCGGATTCGGCATCTTCACGCTGCTCAAGGCAGACTCGAGCAAGGGCCAGTGGGTCGGGTTCCAGGTCATCACGAGTATCGGGCTCGGCATGCTCTTCTCCTGCCCCGTCTTCCCCATCTTGGCGCCGTTGCCGAACAACCGCGCTGCGTCGGCGCTCGCGTTGTGGACGTTCACGCGCTCGTTCTTCCAGGCTTGGGGGATCACCATCGCAAGTACCGTACTGCAGGTACGCACTCTTCTCCCCTTCCCTTCCCTGGACACACCGCTAACCCTGGTCGCCCCAACAGAACAAACTCAAAACCAACCTCCCCCCCTCCTTCATCGCGCAATTCCCACCAGGCTTCGAAATCGCATACATCGCGATCCCCGTCATCCGCACGCTCGACGAGCCGCTCAAGAGCCAGGTCCAGGCCGGGTTTGCAAAGAGCATGGCGGCGATATGGCAGACCATGGCGGGCATTGCGGGGATCGGGCTCTTGAGCTGTTTGTTGTTAAAGGAGATCCCGATGGTGCAGGGGATCGACGAGAGGTATGCGCTCAAGGAGGATGAGAGGGAGAAGGAGAAGGTGGTGGATGCGGAAAAAGCGGTGATGTGATGTAATGTCGCGGCGTTTTTGGACTTTTTTTGTTTTGTATGTGGAGCGATTATGTAGACTCGGAATAGAATCTTTCATTTTGCACCCCCAACCCAGCCCACATCGTAGACCTCAAGCTGCCTGCACCGGCTCGGCCTCCGTCCTATTATCCTCCAATTGATACATGAGGATAGGATCATCCGCATGCTCGCATAGAAACGAGGAGTTCCGCGACTACGATCGCTAGGAATGATTACCCTCGTAGACTGCCAGCGGTGCACAGGGACCAGCGGTGCACAGGGACCGACATGAAACGGTCATAACAAGCCAACCCGTCGAGCAGTGGCTCGGCCGACGGCGGAGACTTCGAAGCTTGCGCGCCATACGCGAGGAAGGAAGGACGGTGGGTGGCTGGCTGTTGCGGGTTAAGAGCCATGGCAGTATCGAGGGCTTTTGTGTTTGTGCGTGGCGAGGGCATGAATTGGAGAGTCCGAGTCCGAGGGTTATCGATGAGGCCGAAGGAAGGCAGTCAATCCTGCAGAGAATGCACTGTGTAGCGAGGTACCCCTGCGTCCGCTCGACGACTCCGCCGTCGACAGTGTAGTGACTGTATTGGATGAGATTCTGTCTAGAAAAGAAAGAAAACGGAACGTACCATCTCCGACCATTCCCAATGACCAGACCTCCCGTCGCTGGTGAGCGCACACCCAAATCCAGGCACCTTCTGCGAGTGGAATCGTTGGTCGTTATGAAGGGACTCAAGGGAGGACGAGGATGGAGCCGAGTTTCACGGCGCTGACGACTCGGAGGAGAGCTTGTACTGCGAAGGGCGCTGCGCACGAAGAAAATGAGATGCAACGAAAGCTAGAGGGGAGACTCGGACTGACCATTCGTCGACACGAGCGACAGCCCAACGGTTCTGCCGCAGGAACTACAGCCATCGAGGAAACATTGCGCTGCAAACGTCTGGGACCGTGAGGTGAGTGAACGCCTTGCCCGACTACAACAGCAAGAGCCCCCTCAGCATTTTGCGGCTTTGTAGTTGGACGAGAGGAAGAGAAGCAAGGTCGCATTGATGAACGCGTCAGCGTAAGGATTGAGCAGTGCTGCCCGCATCATATTTCCAGAGCTATGCGACTGATCATGGTTGTGTAGTGTAAAGGTTATCACCTCAGATTCTGAAATTCTGAAATTCTGACTTCTGGAAATCCTGGTTCGATTCCGGGCACGACCTGTTTTTTTTTTTTTTTTTTTCTTCTTTCTTTCTTTCTTCTGTCTTTCTTTCTTGCCTATTGCTGAATCGCCGTGCCTCTTTTTCGCCTTTTCGCCAGTTACCTGCGGCTGATGATACTTGCCATCAAGGACTCGGATCGTTTGTGACCTGGCTCCCGCCATGTTGTGCCCTGCCTGCTTCTGTGCCTGGAGACCCAGCGCTATAGTTGGAGTCAATCGCAAGCCGCTGCACAGCCTGCATCACTTCCTGCATCTTTCCTCGAAACAGTTGAAGACTCTTCCTTCCGGGCCGAGTCTCAAGACTGCATTCACTCCACCTGGCAACTCCGGAAGGAAGGAAGTACATACACGGCACGGTCCCGCGCCGGATCGCTTCGGAAGATGCTCGAGTCAGCTCGACAGCTTTTCCTTGGGTGGCTGCCGTATAAAATACCCACTGAGTCTGTCGCAGCGTGCTCTGACTCCAACGATGATCCTAACACCAAGCCTGGCCTTTCTCCTTCCACTATTTCAACTGGTGTTTTTCCCGCTCTACAGTCTAGGTACGCCGGTATGCCAGTGCAGGTACGCTCCCTGTTATGTAACTGCGCTGCAACTAATGTATCGCTAGAAATGGAGATAGCTGTTCATGCTTTACGACAGGGTCAAGCCATGGCTCTGCACCAATCGGCGCGATAATCGGGGGTGTTGCCGGCGCTCGTGAGTTTATCCCCATGTTCAGTTTGACGAGCGACGTTGCTAATAATCAGTTGGGCTCATAATCCTTTTCTGCGTCCTGAGATGTGTCTATAAGACCACCAACCGACATCCTCGGGGAGCTGCAATCGAGAGGATGGGCATGCATTCGGTCTCCCGGTCGCGAACACTCGATGAGATTTCGATATTAGACCGTGACGTACCAGCGCCGCCGTCGCCAGCTATGGTTCCCACCGCTGCGGGAGCGGGAGTGGGGCCCGGGAACGATGCCGTACCGCCCCCACCATACTCGATGAATATTCAAGTACCAAACTGATTAAATAATCTCCTGGCGTAATCCCGAGCTCCACCTCCCGACTCCACCACCGACGGTTTAATCGGTTTTAGAACTTGTTTCACTGTAGTCTAAGTCCCTTGATGCTCAATATACAGACTTCGGACTTCTACGCTCGACGCTCCGCGTCGTTGGAAGTGTACGCTGCTCGCTGCCCCTCTGAGAGCTCCGCTCGACACTGAGGGGCTCGAGCTCTCTCTCCTCCCTCGCTCACTCGACTTCGCAGTTCTCCCTCCCGCTTCCTTCTCAATCTTTGTTCTCGCATAGTATGTACACACCGCCTACCGTGAAATACATACTGTTCTTGGGGCTGGGCTCTATGCCGCAGTCGCCGACCACCTATTCTCCGCTCATCGCGAGTGTGCTGGAATTAATTTGTCTTGTGGAATCGTTGTCGAAGACTCGACGAAGAGGATGTCGTCCATTGATTAGGGCCACCCTAGGATCTGTTACCCCCATACATCTATCCAATTCAGAGTCTGAAGAGGTCGACTGAGGCCCGTCGATGTTCAAAGCCCTTTCGTTACGGACGATACGGACGGGTAAGATAGCAACTTGCCATCAAGGACTCGGATCATTCGTGACTTGGCTCTTTCCTCCAACACGCCATGTTGTGCCACTCTGCTGCAGCTCGCTCCGGATTCTTATCGAACCCCGGGCCCTGCCTCTGTGCCTGGAGACTCCACGTCGAGTCCACGACATTACTGGCGCTGTGCTAGGCTGCAGGCGGGACAACCTGGCAGCCTGCATCTTTCCTCGAAACATTTCAAGACCTCAACGTTTCAACAGCTTTCCTCCGGCTGGCCATACTCTCAAGACATCATATATACTGCATTCAATCACACTGACACCTGGGGATCGCGTCGGAAGATGCTCTACAGCTTTTTTCGGGTGGCTGTAACCGTATATAAAAGACCCAGTGCGTCTGTCGCACGAGCGATAAGCGTGCTCTGACTCCAACAATGATCCCCACCTCACGCCTGGCCTTCGTCCTTCCACTACTTCAACTTGTGTTCTGCCCGCTCTACAGTCTAGGTACGGCGGTGTGCCAGTGCAGGTAGGCTCCCTTGCGCTGCACCAGGATTTCGACTAATGTATCGCCAGCGCCGGAGCTAGTAGCTGTTCATGCTCGACGAACGCGGGCTCAAACGGCTCTGTACCAATCGGCGCGATAATCGGCGGTGTTTTTGGCACTCGTGAGTCTATCTCTATGTGCACTTGACGAGCGACGTTGCTAATAATCAGTTGGGCTCGTAATCCTTTTCTGCGTCCTGAGAGCTGCCTGCGATACCAACAACCGACGTCCTCCTGCTTATCGGGCAGTTGAAACTGCACCTGCAACTGAGAGGAGGGGCATGCCTTCGGTCTCCCGGACGCGAACACTCGATGGGATTTCGATAATAGACGAACCAGCGCCAGCGCCAGCGGCGGCGGCGGCGGCGGCGGTGCAACGGCCGTCACAAGCTATATTTCCCAGTGGCACCGTTGCGGGAACGGGAGTGCCAGTGGGGCCTGCTGTACCGCCGGGTGTACTGCCCCCACCATACTCGATGAATACTCAAGTACCAAATCTATGAACACTATTAATCTCCTGGCGTAATCCCGAGCTTCTAACAACCACCCCGACTCCACCTATCTAGCTGCTGTGCCGCACCACCGACCGTTTTCTCTCTTGGTTGCCCGGGCCCGGGAATCGAATCTGCTGGAAAGATTTCTGCTATCTGTGGCGCTTCCACTGAGCGTTTCGGCGTCCAAGGATTGCAAGTTATTGCCGTGCGCTTCAACTTGACGAGGTGCAAATCAAAGCTCGGATTTATTTTCTCCACTCCATCATCGCTTCATTGCGTTCAGCGCCTGGCACAGGCAGGTGCCGGTAATGCGTTGGTGAGAAGAGCGCTCGTTGTAACCATGCAGCTATGAAAGACTAGCTAATCTACTTTCATACAACAAGACAGATATGCCCTCGAAACTGCACCTGCGTTTAACAGCAATGGGTGTCGTCAAGCACGGATTTTGCGGGATCTGTGTTGGAGAAGGAGAATCAACTTGAACATAGAGAAGGAAATCGATGCGTTATAACGCGCTGCCGACAGTTCTTCACGCACGAAACACTCAATCTGATCCACACTCAGATACGTTCAAATCGCCGGCGGCGACCATGCAACCAATACAACATTTCTGAATTCAGTCTGGATTTAAACGAGTTGCGACACCGCCTGCGTCGGCGCCGTGAGAGAAAAAGTGGAGCTGGCGTTGTTGGGTAGGTCGACTCCAACTAATTCAGTACGACTGTACATGTCCTGTAACGATATGCGGGAGCGACACGGCGGTCGACTTCAAAGGAACACGAGGAGAGTTGCGCAGAATGAGAACGACCAACGACGCTTCTCGAACATGGCAAGAACCAGGTAACCCAAGATTTTTCTCTCTGATTCCCTACTATAAATAATGACACAGTGCACAGATATCCGACGGCATTTTTCAATTTCCAACTTCTCTCACTGTCAATCCCTTCGACGCAGCGCTAAGCGCTAAGCGGTCAGCACGGGCAGCTGCCATTGGCGCAGCAGTTGGGACTGGAGGCGGTGCAGCCGTCCTCGTTACAGTCCTACACACGACGTCAGTTCAGGGATTCATGCAGCATGTACGTATACATGTCCGAGCAAGACTCACGCAGTAGGAAGGGTAGCAGTCCTGGCGCGCCTTGAGGTTCGGCGACGCGGCTCCAGCGGCGGCGGAAGCGATGAACGCGACAAGAACGGTGAGGACGGCGAAACGCATGGTGAGTAGCTGGGTGTTGTGGATGTGGAGGGGTTTAGGTGTTGTGGGTAGAGGGCTGGCGAATGGAACTGGAAGATTTCGACGTCCAGGTGCGCATTTTATACCAACCCCACCTACCGATCCATCGCTCCATCCCAAAAATAGTGGAGCCCAACCATTGAATCAAGTACCCCCCCCGTTGGTAAGAACAGGATCAGCAAAATGCCAGCCGAGCGGGAAAGAGGAGCTGTTGTGCTGGAAGAAGTCGACAGTGCAACGGCCGGCGGCGAACGTTCGAGGATCAGCGCTCAGCTGCGAGGACAGCATCGAAGGATTTCGAATCAAGTTTCCCGACCGTCTGCGCGCGAACAGCCAGTCCACCGAGTGGACTACTACTGCAAACACTGGCAGCCGAGGGAGCGAAATCCAAGCATTGGATTGGATCAATACACGGCACGGCGCTGCAAGGAAATCAACCATCAGCATGGCAACGTCGGATGCTGGTCGAATGAAGTCCAAGAGTTCAATAATCGCACGCTCCGTCGGCACATGGTCGAATGTATGAACGAGTCGACGTCGAATCCTGAGCCTGAGAGCGCGAGCCGGTCGACCTGCGGAGCAATTGTGGAGGTCTTGCTGCGGAACTCGGAGAAGCAAGAACGCAGATGTGCCTACGAAACCAGTCGAGTTTTTTCTTTGGTCGATGAGATGGAAGATTGCGTTGAGGCGGAAGACGTCGACTGTCAGCGCAGCAGGACTGCAAACGAGGATTGGCACGAGCGGAAATTTGGAGAGTTTGTGGGGACCTGTTGATTGTGGCGGGCGGAAGATGAAGGTCCTCACGCTGCAAGAGACTTTATAAACCGAGCAATTGCGTCTTTGATAATAAACACTCGCCTAATTTGATGGCATCATGTCATAGTGTCACACCAGTGACCCGTTCTCTTCCGGCTTGAAGTTCCCGTGTCGTCCCGGCCCGGGATCGCAACAAAGGTGGGGCGGAGTAAGCATCGGCCACCATGCTGCCCGACCCACTCTCAGGCTTCTGCGATCACCCCGTGCTTCGGGCAAGCTTCGGCCAGACTGGCACTCGACAGCGCCTGCCGCATGCGAGTTTATTGAACGTCTATTCCGGAGGGATTTTGTAATTCAGTTCAGTGCGGCGAAATTCGCAGAGTGCATTATCTGTGCACACCCTGTATCGAATTAGC